CCGTGCGTTTGTGTTGTTTCCTGAAGGCATCTCAACAACCTTTTATTATAATTTCAATTCTGTAAAGTCATAAATTTAAAATTTCATTTTGATCTTTTCAGGGCACTTCAATAAAAGCTTGTTTTAAAAGTTTTTTTATTATTATTTTTTCGGAGTATCATTGAAGTTCTGCCCTAAATATTTACTTCTCCTACTGCGTTGTTTCGTTTATCATGAACAATTGAAATAAAATGCTCGAATTCATACATTCCATACATTCTCATACATTCGAGGGGTCGAAAGGTGCAATTTTTGGCAAAATTATGGTCTTCTTTTCTCTTACCATTTAAATAACTCGTATCCTCGCACAAAACAAAAAACAGCAAATCACCACACAAGTATTATATACCTACTTCACTTTAATTCCCACTATCGAATCACGTCATGTTATCCCGCAGTCCAAAGCTACTGAGATTCTTCTCAAACCGGAACAGCAAATTCTCACTATCAATATCACACATCCCGTGTGGAGTGTTATCAGCAAAACACAGACACCCCCGCTGCAACCAATCGTGTTACAGGGCGAGAGGGAAGGTGGTGTCATTTGGTATAAACTCCGCCTTCCAACCCTTGTGTTTGAGTAAAGCGTTTTTGTCTGGAGAATTGATTTCATGTTGGTTTTGAATAGGATATGCGTTGTATTCTAAAGACTAGTATGCAATACTTCCTTGTTTTGTACCTCTTAAATAAATGTTCAATAGAAGATGTATTATTTGAAACAATTTGAGTAATCTTTGAAAAAAAAAGAAATTAATAACAACCCAAAAGTATCTATTGAGGAAAGGAACTATCGACGTACTCATTACCTACGGAAAAAATGAATTAAAATTTACCCAGTAAATAAACTTACAACCTTTTTTATTTGATTTTCGGTCTCACAGGAAATATTTTTCAAATCAAATCGCTGTATTTTTTTCATGGAGATATTTACCTACACATTTTATAAAAATAAATCTTGTCTTCCAATATCCATGTGCTCCGAAAAATTGTTTTCACAATTAGCAGGGGTCTATGTTTGTCAATACATAGTGTGAATCATAACGACAAAATAAGCAATACCTATGCATAGAAAACGTACCTAATTTAAAAAGAATGTTTGAAATTTTATCAAAAAAAATGGAACTTTAAATTCTAGAAAAATCTAAAATGTAATGTTACATCAGTGAATGAACTAATTGCAAATCGTTGTAAAAATATTGCTGGCAATATCACATGCGTTTCTGAATGATACTCAGGAAACAATAATTAGTTCTTTTCTTGCTGTAAAATCGAACAAAATCATATGATACGTGCATAAATTTAATACAAGGTGTGTTCTTTGAGAGCTGTAAACAACAAATGTGTCATATAAAGTACTCAAACAGTTATATGCTAATATTTAGCAATTGGAATGAAGCTAAGGACATTTGCACTGAAAAAGATGAAGGTGGATCAATCACTTGCGAATCAACCTTGATAGGAGACTAATAAATATAGGTACACAATAATTCTGAATTGAAACAGAATTATTATTATAAAATTCCCACCTCAACGAAATATTGTTAAATTCCGACTTCTAACTTGAAATTTTATTAAATTCCTTCTCCAAACACAGTATTCAGTGAATGTCATTTTCAAGAGAGTTTGTGGCCCTTGTGAACCTTCAATGGCGGTGAGTTTGACGATACAAAAAAATCAAACTTCGGTGTAAATCACTCACATAATCCTCAAATTGGATATTTTCTCTCAGCACCTGCAGCAGCAAGATAAGAAATGAACACGCCCTTCCTAATTATTTAACGCCAAGCTAAATCTACCCGCTCGCTATTTCACGGTCACACAGCGAGATCTAGAAATATGAAAAATTAATGTGTAAGGGGAGCCTAAATGACGATAATTCCACAAAATAGTTTAATTGTTATCTACCACTTTAGTTTCATTAGATGGCAAGATAAACAAGTATGGTCTTTGTTTAAACAAAGAAAAATTATTTAATTATTAAGACTCAAACTATTTTCTCTGAAAAATAATGTTTTTTCCTAATAATGTATTTTGAACTCTTGAGCTGTTCTGATCACTTGCCATTACATCTACAGTAAATTGAATTGGATCATTACAGATAACCTTGTGGTGGATACAGAGAATCTGAGACATTTTGCTTTAATCATTAAAATCGAAGTGCCGAATCTTAAACAAATTTAACTTCGTTATATTTACCGTCATGACTCATCGAAATTTTAAGTATATATACAGAGCGAGCCATCGAAAACCTACCTACCTGGTTCACTATATAGTTTAGAAAATGTGGGGCTTTGAAATGCTCAGGATATAAGGAAATTTCTGCTTGCTTTTTAACCTCTCCTCATAAATATCAGAAGATGAAGGTTAATGATTTAAAAAAAACTTTTTATGAATCTTTTACTGTTTATTACCTTGAATTGTCCACATATCATTTCGAAATGGAAGAAATTATTTTAGAGAGAAACCAATGGTCTATTACCAAATATTGGAAATTCTTTCAGGACAATTTGCAAATCTTGCAGACCAGACAGTATCGGGTTTTTAGTTGCCGAAAGATTCAGATGGGCATATGGGTAGTATAGAAACGAAATCAATGGAATATTTCAAGAGAAAACTGTGCGCTAGAATATAGCTTGGGTTGAAGCAGCGAATTGTGTCGAAAGATAAGCGAAGATAACTTCAATAAAAAATTCAATTAAACGGTAATTAAATCTAAAAGTAATTGCACTGTCTCATGAAACATAGTTTGTCTTGTTTTTTCCGATGATATCCATCATCCGGTTCATTTTATCATCTTCCCCCATACATTCATTATTTTTTCGCAAGATAATTTATTTCAATGTATTTTTTTCACTTCGTCCCCTCTTTTGGTTCAGTCAGTTTTTTCATTTCCGAAACAATAAATTTCAATCCATCTAACTAATATGACATTCTCAATCATGAGCGAATCCAAGAAATTTGGTACTCATGAATCAAATGATCCCAACAGTACCAGTAGCAAGTAGGTAGGTGTCTTTGTAGTCGTACGTTGATAAATCGTAAAATCATAATACATTTCGAAAGAAAAAAATATTGATTTTGCAAGGTCAAAGTTTGCCTTGGATATTTTTTATATTCAGTCTCAATTCGAAAATTATTGTGTTCGTCAATGGATATATATTTCTCCATGATAAGATTTTGGCTTCAATATCTTACTACATGGGTTGAACTTTCAATAAATTATCTTTTTTTGTCTGACTGTTGTTCAAAATCTGTTGACGCGAGAAATGAGATTGACCCAATTTTATACACATATAGATGGTACAAGAACAGTATAACGCGCTAAAAGAGCCAGTAGTCCGACTCTTTCCACTTTTTGGTAATAAATCATAGCGCGCACAATCAAATCGTAGCGGATAGTTTTTGGATGTGCCGTAAGTTGTGTCTCTATAATCGGAACCGTTTTCATAACTAAAATTTTGCATGCAATTTACAGCTTTTGGACTATCAAAGTGGCGACATTTCGCTTGTGGAATCATGATGAAGAGAATGCTTTCACATATATTTATATTTATTTCATAAAAATATTAAGATAAGCACAAGTGTAAGATATGTTTGGAAATTGGAAAAGAAAACGATATTGTCGATATAGAAAATATCTGGGAAAAAAAGTTTTTGTCTTTCTACTACTCCATCTTGATACTGAAAAATGTAGGAATCTTCCAAAGGAAGGAAGGAAGTAATCAATTGTAGAAAAAATACCTTTATACATAGATTTGTAGCTTTCTTGAGTAGAGAAAAGTGCTTTCTGTATAATTCAGTGGTCATGTAGGAGTATTTATTTCGAAAGAATTTTTCTTTCGTGTAATTCAATGTTTATATGAAAATTGCTGTTTCAGGAAGGCTTTTTTTTCAGTTCGTGTCTGGAAATTACTTCTTTGCATGACCTACACATCTATGTATAAAGTTATTTTTTTTTAAATTGATTGCTTCCTTTCTTTGAAAGATTCCCATATTTTTCAGTATCAAGATGAAGTAGTGGAAAGCCAAACACTTTTTCCCCAAAAAAAATAATAGTTTTTTGAATCTGAAATTATTGTATGTATAAAAACATGAAAAAAAATTTGTGACCATATATATTCTATTAGAAAAATAGTTGAAAATATTAGGAAATATGTTGAAATTATTTTCAGAAAAAGTAAACGATAATATAAACTCAAAAATTAGTCACTCCTAAAAATATAACCCTTTCGAAGAAAAATATCTATTCACATTTCAGAATACAGCCAATTTCTAACCAGGATATATTTGGAAATTCATATTACACCCAAACACATTTTGTTCAGTTTATTGATTCGTTAGAGAATCATTTCAGTCATCTCTCCCCACAAGTTTCAGTAATGAAACTGTTGGAAAAATCATAAAAAAAACAATGTTCAATAATCACATTTCTTCGTCCTAGTAAATATTTTTCAATGGATTATTTGTTATCATCAAGTTTATTTGCGCTTGATATACAAAAAATATGGTCCAAAGCGCCCATGCTTTTTTCACAATAATACTAGTATTTTAGGTTCGTTATTATTTCGAGCTGATTCAAAAAAATATTTTTAACTTTAAACTATATTCATTTTTCATTTTTTAGTTTCGCATGCTATAAAAGCGTGTTTTTTTAGTATTTTTAAACTATATTCATTTTATCTGAAGTTTGGGATCAATCAACCGTATATTGCTTAGAAAAATGACCATTGATATTTTCCGATTCCGGAGAGGGAGCCTGAAAATCAGCTACCAAGCCCAAGGAAGGCAGCAGGCGCGCAAACAAGCAGGCGCGCGTGTTTATAAACTTGTTGCATCAAGTTTATAAACCGCCAGTTGAAATGCTGGAAAACAAATAGAAATAAAAAATCGAAAACTACTCAATTTGTAACATTTATGAATATAATTTTCTTCTTTTGTTCATATTACCCTACTATTTATAGTCGAAGTCTTATAATTGTCATGTGAGCATTGATTAATTTGATGATCATTCTTTAAAATGTTATTTTCTGTATTTAATCTCATGCCACAAACTAATTGGCCGATAATTGATGAAAATGTATAATTAACTCATTAAAAAATTAAAGTCAGATTTCCATAAACAAGTTATAACATTACCGCAACACATGTTTCATTACATGAAAGCTTTTTGGTTTTGTGAATCTGGTTTGTTGAAATCTCTAATTGAAGTATTTTAATATGTTATGTATTGAAAAGTTCCGTGAAGACCAAAAAAATTCTGATTATTCAAATAATAATTTGGTGAACTTCAGTAAATTTCATTACCAATCTTATGTAGAAAAAAATCCAAAGCCGCATAGGTTATTTTTAAGCTAAATCCCCCTGAAGTCACTCAAAATGATATATTTTTAGTAATTNGTTAACGCCGGAA